TTCCCACCCGTCCCGCTGCCAGCCCCTGTGGCATTCCCAAATCCCCGATCCCAGATCCCGGCATTCCCAAATCCCAGCATTCCCAGCCATCCCACTGCCAGCCCCTGTGGCATTCCCAAATCCCTGCTTGTCTCGCTGATGGTGCCCCCAGCATTCCCAGATCCCAAATCCCAGATCCCGGCATTCCCAGCCATCCCACTGCCAGCCCCCTGGCACTCCCGGCATTCCCAATCCCGGCATTCCCACCCATCCCACTGCCAGCCCCTGTGGCATTCCAAAATCCCCAGTTGTCTCGCTGATGGTGCCCCCAGCATTCCCAAATCCCAGATCTCGGCATTCCCAATCCCGGCATTCCCACCCGTCCCGCTGCCAGTCCCTGTGGCATTCCCAAACCCCCGATCCTGGCATTCCCCATCCCGGCATTCCCACCCATCCCGCTGCCAGCCTCTGTGGCATTCCCAAACTCCAAATCCCAAATTCCCAATCCTGGCGTTCCCACCCATCCCGCTGCCAGTCCCTGTGGCATTCCCAAATCCCCGATCCCAGATCCCGGCATTCCCAAATCCCAGATCTCGGCATTCCCAATCCCGGCATTCCCAGCCATCCCACTGCCAGCCCCCTGGCACTCCCGGCATTCCCAATCCCGGCACTCCCACCCATCCCGCTGCCAGCCCCTGTGGCATTCCCAAATCCCCAGTTGTCTCGCTGATGGTGCCCCCAGCATTCCCAAATCCCAGATCTTGGCATTCCCAATCCCAGCATTCCCACCCGTCCCGCTGCCAGCCCCTGTGGCATTCCCAAATCCCCACTTGTCTCACTGATGGTGCCCCCAGCATTCCCAAATCCCAAATTCCCGATCCCGGCGTTCCCACCTGTCCCGCTGCCAGCCCCTGTGGCATTCCCAAACCCCAGATCCCGGTATTCCCACCCGTCCAACTGCCAGCCACTGTGGCATTCCCAGCATTCCCAAATCCCAAAACCCCACCTGTCTCATTGATGGTGCCCCCAGCATTCCCAGATCCCAAATCCCA